GTGTGTGTGTGTGCGCGTGTGCGGGCATGTGTATGTGTATGTGTGTGTGTGTGTGTGTTTGTTTGGGCTTCCCTGAACACAAACGCGCCTACTGGCAGGCCCTAAGGTACACCTCGCACTTATTGGGTTTCAGATTTTGAAAAACCACAGCTGTACACAGGATTGCAAGCATAAGCAGAGCTTGGCCCGGACCCAAACCCCAAACCTCAAACCCTGACTCCGAAGCCCAAATCGGCTGTGCTGCGCAGGTGGGGATCCTCTTGTAGTCGCCCTGAACCCCTAACCCAAGAGCAGCAGCCACAGACAAGAGTGGGTCCTGAGATTGGGAGCCTCCCGGTAAAGAAAAACAACGCAACAAGTTCGGGACCTGTTTTGACGCGGCCGGAAATTCAGAGCCAGACCCTAAACTTTCGCAAAGCAATTTGGAAAACCTCAGCCCGAAGAAACAGAGCCAGGTCGTAAATTTCGGAGTCAACCCTAGACCCGAAATCCCAGACCCAAAAGATGAACTCCGAATCCCCAATATCCCAGAACCCTAAACCCTAAAACCCTTAAGCCCTAAAACCCTAAGCCTTAAAACCTAAACCCTCAACCCTAAATCCCCCAGAAGCATCGCCAGGTCCTCAACTTCGGAGCCTCGACGGTGGAGATGCTGGGTTGCTGTTCAGGAGCGTATTTCAAGTTATCAAAAAGTGGGGATCTATCGTGAATAACGGGCTTTCCTTCTTATGGTACTTTAAAATCTACGTTCCTAAAGCCTAAACCGCCTAAACCCCCAAACCCCAAACCCCTACCCCCAAACCCTAAACCTCTAAACCCTAAACCCCAAACCCTGAAGCCTAAACCCTAAAGCCCAAACCCTAAAGCCTAAAACCTAAACCCAAAACCCTAAACCCAAAACCCTAAACCCTAAACCCTAAACCCCAAAGCCTAAAGCCTAAACCCTAAACTCTAAACCCGAAACCCCAAACCCTGAAGCCCAAACCCTGAAGCCGAAACCCTAAACTC